AAGCCTGTTCTGTTGTACCAGTCTTTTACCTATTAGGGCTCGGGTATTCTACAGTGGCGTCGGATTAGGGCGCAGACATACTGGACCACGCTGGCTTCAGCCAATCCTGTGTCACTCTGCGTTCCAATGGCATGCGAGAAAGATAAGCAGCCAACTAGAGAAGGACACGACTGAGGAGCAGCATATAATAAGCGGCGTGGCCAGCGTGGTGGACTCGGATGGGAGGCGCCTGACGCGTAGCTCTGGCTTGTGATTGGTCAATAAAGCCTGTTCTGTTGTATAGGTCTTTTACCTATTAGGGCTCGGGTATTCTACACTGGTGGCAGCGGATGCGTTCGAATCACGCAAATCGAACCCAGTCCTTTCTCATCTATGGTCAACAGAGGCGAAGACCCCTGAATGCCAGCTGAATTTGTCATGGCGGTCATCCGATGTCCAATAAACTGGATCCATAGACATTGCCCGGGATTAGGACTACTGCATCTGAAGAGGCATTGACAACTAAGCGAAGACGACTTGGACAGTGAAAGCCAGCTGGACTGCATCTGCGAATGGACCTTCGATGGATGATGAGTCTTTCCTGCAAGTCTACAAGAGCCAAGTCCCTCGTCAACTATTCGCGTGGGCCACTATCCTGTCAGATGTGGGGTGCGGGAAGTGTCGAACTGGATATTATACCAACACTGGATATCAACAACAGCGCAAGGAACCAAGCCAGAAGCTGAGGACAGCTTCAATCCTGAGGGGGAGGGAGTGTGCGACGGAATAGGGCGCAGACATATTGGACCACCTGGTCGCAGCCAATCCTGCGTCTCAATGTGTTCCAATGGCAAGCGAGGAAGATAAGCAGCCATCCAGAGAAGGACACGACTGATGAGCAGTATATAATGAGCGGAATGGCAAGCGTGGCGAACTTGGATGGAAGGCGCCTGACGCGTGGCTCTGGCTTGTGATTGATCAATAAAGCCTGTTCTGTTGTACAAGTCTTCTTCCTATTAGGGCTCGGGTATTCTACATTGCGTGTGGCAGATACTCGACATCTATGTGCTCGCTCATTGGTCGAGGGTAAGCGTCAGAGCGTGATGGCGACGTCACGGGACCGGTCGCGTGACTTCCGGCGTCGTGGCGCCTAGTGGGAATTGAATGGCACGCTGGGGACTGAGTGCCAATCCACTTAAGAGTTTCCCGTCTCCATTACAGCACCGAGGAACGGACCAACGGGAGAACAGGACGACCGGGTCGAGGCTATATAAAGGCTTTGATTTCCTCCGTGGCTGACCGGGTTGTAGCCGTCTGTCTCAGTAAGGTTGTCCATCTTGTCTCAGCCTTGTTCTCATCATGGGCCCAAAACGCACAAATGGTGGGGGTGGTGAGATTCGAATCCACGTCCTTTCTGATCGGCCTCTTTGACTCCTCGGCCACACTACCACATTCTCGGGGTCCACTTCGTCAAACACCTTCAGCACCAGACTGCAGATTTCGGCTGTGTAATCCAACACATTCTCTCTGCTGCGATATACACGATCCGCGTGTCTGTCCAGATACTCACATATTTACCAGGCTTTCTCTGAGGTCTTCGTACGGGGTATCCGTACGACATCCATGCCATTCTGCTCTGAATCGAGCTCTTCCGGGCAAATTTTCTAGGAGCCTACGAGCCCTAGTTTGAGGGGTGACACTGCTTAGGAAATCAACCATTTCGTCTAACCAAGTTTCAATGTCATCCCCAATTTCAAACTGAGGTGGCTTCGTGAGCGCACTCATGCCTTGTCCAAGTGTTCTGTTCGACTCCCAGGGTTTGGAGTCCGAGGACGTCTTTGCGACGTTTCCGCTACCACCACTCGTAAGTTTCCGGCCCATGATAAGGATGAGGCTGAGACAAAACGGATATCATTTTTGAGTGTGGCGGTTGCGCTCTTCCTGAAATGGTTGCCGCTAGAAGTATATGAGCGCCACGTTAGGCAGTTAAACTGCCCACTTGGTGACGTGAAGAAGGCTCTATCGGGTGCCGGATGCTCTTTAGTCAACCCAAAACGCTTCACTCAGAAGACGTTCGAAACACCGAGATGCGTCGTCAGTCAGCTTAGTGTACTCAAGTAGACGATGCTTGGCGTAGTGTTCTGGCTTGTGATTAGTCAATAAAGGCTGTTCTGTTGTGTCAGCCTTATTTATACCGGGGCTCAGGTGTTCTTCAGTAGTGTTGGGCATGCTCGCAGACAAACTTGGTTACCTCGACCTCAGCCCATTCTCTGCCTGTGTGTATTTGTTTAAGGCCATCAGCTAACCAGATACAAGAGCAAATGCGTTGTGCTACTTAAGGAGCTATTCACCCAATTTTGAGAATTCCGAAGTACGGCGCCTGACAGATGGTCCTGATTTGTGTCTGGCCAATACAGTTTACTGTTGCATCTGTCATCTCTACATATTGACTCAAGTATTCCGATTTCTAGCTAAGACTGATTTTTGTAACGTGAATCAAACCCCACGTCCATTTAATCTTAAAAAGAGGTGGAAGTCCATAGCTGACGGTTGCGGTCAGTCATGGCAATGTATTCATTATTTTAAAGATTATCAGCCCATCAGAGCCGTGACTGAGAAGCGTAGTGGGATGTTTTGAGACGAAAAACATAACTAATCGCGTGTCGAGCGTCAAAATTGTTTCAACAAAGCGAAATGAGATGAGGCACAGGAATTCAAAATCACCGTCATTAGATTTCTTCCAATCAAAGAAAATGCAATTTAAATCTGTTGTTTGTTAATATTTGTATGAGTCAGAGACACTGAACTTATCACAATATTGAGAACATAAAGTATTAAATCTGTAGAAGGCTTCAGATGGATTATGGTTGCAGTATGTTCCCGGACTTTGAACTTTCAAAATCAAGCTCCGTTTATATAGCCCAGATGCACGTACTCAATTGTTATTCTCTAAATACCAACGAGATGACGGCGATAGAAGTAATTTAAACAATTCATTTTTTAAAACAAATAAAACCTAATAGAGTCATTACAAAAGAGAACGCGGAAGTCAGCTTAAAAGTTATCGATACAAAAGTTAATAGAAGGGAAATAAAAGTTCGTTTTGAATAGATAATGGAATTTGTATGCTATCAGTCTTCAGGCATAGAAACCATAATAAAAACTTGTTACCGAATTTCGGATTAATGCAATTTATCGTTTTACAAACTGACATCCCAAGACACAACATTAATTTAACAATCGGTTTGCGAATTGTAAAGTTTTCAATGTAAAACGAAAATATACATGCCTTACTCATCCGAGGCTAATCTAGCGCAAACTACTCTTAATTACACACAAAATCCGTTCAAGCAAGGTTCAAGTAAGTTCATTCTGTTAGGGTACCTGGATTGCGTGATTCATCCACAAAATAGTGCAATTTCTAATTTGATGAATAGAACTCTAAAGCGCCTGCCGAGCTGGCATTAGTGATAGGAGTTTAGTAAATCTGATTTAAAAGAATACCCATAGCATTAAGCGAACCACTTGGCACGTGACAGAAAAAATAATAGTAATAATGGCTTAGTGAACCCTCGACATCCGTACGCCAGTACGTAGGAGGCAAACCTAAGAGAAAGGGTTAGTGTCGAAACGAAAAAAATGCCTTGAGGAGGATCAGCGCTTACCAACAGTGTGATTGGAGCAGCTAAAGAAAGGTATGGTGGTAAGACGCCAAAGTACAGCCAAGACTGACATACGTTGACAAGATTGTGCGTGTCACAGAGAGCGTATTCGTAGGTAGCACTGCTTATTTCTTTAAAAATATGTGTTGAATCAAGGTATGAGTAATTGCGAAATTTACTCTCTCGAGCGTTCTTATACAACTTAATATAAAATCCTGTAAGAATTATTCGTTTAAAATTACAATGAAGATTGTCACAACCGAATAAGTTTCAGTCGTCAGCAGTGGTCTTAAGAGCAAAAACCACTTTGTGTATAATTTTATTTTCACAAACTTTATTGGATACCTTCAATTTCTATAGTACGAAGTTTTCATTTATATTTATAGTTACCACATTGCACACAATTGAAAACAGCTGTTCATTTGTATCACCGGCTCTTAATGTCTACAAATCTTGCCATTTTCTATGAAATTTCAGGAAAAATTGACGTCTAATGCTACTATTTGAGGTCGGAAGCTGCTGCAAGTCAATGAAAAAGGTTATTTCAAACTAGTTACATTTAATGCGCTCTTACAGCAGATTCACTGAAAGGTTAGGATAATGCTTTTTATATGTGAATTTTTGTCTGTCAAAAGTAGTCCATTTCGATGGTCGTATAATCTCGGATCAGAATTAATTTATTGATGGTAAGCATTTAACAATGTTAACCTGACTATGTAAATTAGGAAAAACTATTTAGCAGTCGACAACCGCATTTTTTAAAAAAAAAGAACAATAAACTCTAACTTGAAGAAATGACCTCAAAATCACTGATAATATTTTTGCGGAAACCTAATATAAATATATTTTTTGTCCCTTCTTCGGCCATTTTACGCTAATTTGTTCTGTCAAAACACTATTAATTAGAGTTGTATTTAAAACTAAAATTGTAACCATGCTCCTTGTTATCTTCGTTACAAAGTCCATGCAAGATGCTGATGTGAGTGATTCCTGAGATTACCAGTGTTTCGTAAAATGTAGGACATCAATATATCACTCAGAGGACATTACAAACGGAATTTTTTGCTATCCTTCTCTTACACAGCTATTTCCGAATTGAAAAAACGAAATTTTTAAACTAAATACTTTAATGAAACTGGTGCCTGCAGTAGGTCCCTATTAATTTTATAGCTATGAATGTATTCAGTTACATTGACCTTCAAGAAACTAAAACATCCCCAACCTCTCTCCATATTCATAGTTAATGCAGCCATGTGAATTCGCTTTAACAGAATTTGGCTGAGGTTAGCACTGTGCTAACTTTTATAATAATGATGGGGAATTCGCGGATCAGTTAAAGTGCGCTTCACACCTGAGATCACATGTTTTATTCTTGGCGGCATTCACAAAACGGTATTTCTCCCTTCGGTTTGACCTTCCTTCGCCGTGTGTTAACCTAGCTGCTTATTATATTTGCTTATGTGTCGAATCGATTCATACGCCATAACTGAGCAGTTGTGCACTTCCGTCTTTGTGTTTAACGTGATTACTGATTTTCGGTTTTGATTAGGGCGTTTTTATCTTGTAATCTGGAGTCTCCTAGGCTATTTTTACTGAATGGATTCCTAAATTAAGGCATGTCTTCTCTCTTTATTGGTGGCCATGTTTTGTAAAATGATTTCTGGTTTCACGATATGTTCAAACGCATTTTGTTACTCATTTTCGTCACGGCCTTATATGAAGGCAGCGCCTTCATTCTTCTCTATATTTGTTCGTTTTTTGTTCGATGTTTTATTTTAGAACGGTCGATTATTTGATCGCCAACAGAGTTCCTCTGAATTGAGTCAATATTAGCACCTATGCGGTTAGGGGAGGGAATGTAGTCATCCACATTTTTGGGCATTGGGTAGATTGATTCAAATTGGAGAGATTTTGATTTACTGTAAGCTTCATATTTGGCTTCAACCAGTGAACATGTATAGTTGCGTCTAATTTGAAGTCTTTTATTCCTGATTATGCCATACTTACACTTTAACTGAGAGATTGATAATTATCCTTGTGATAGTCGTGTAATGCTACCTGGTTATTTAAAACCAAATCGATTTTTTCCAAAAGGTTTCTACTACCTTACTTTATCTCCAAATATTGTTCTTGGTTGTAAATTACTGGAATATTAAATATATCTGCGCTTGTATGTTATGCGTTCTATTTTAGTGAAAGTTCTCGGAAAATATGTTACCTGAATTGCATGAGTACTTCACTCAAAGTTGTCATACGCTTTTCCTTCTGTAACTCTGCTTATTATTGCCATTGGGTTGTACTACTGCAAAGATCGGCCAATACACTTTGCTTAAACGGTTATATTGTAAATTGGATTAATTAAAATCTATTCTTGTAAATACCTCGTTTAATTTATTCACTCCCTCATTAGCAATAGCGGTTTTCGTTTTGTTAATTGTGTTTCGAACTCAAAATCCTCAGTACATTCCATGATATGCTAGAATGTACGGACATTCATTTTTACGCTCCTGCGGATCTGTCCTGATTTTCTACTAAACAGTAACCTTTAACTAGTTATCACTTTCAAAACAGTAGCTTCACAATATTTTGATGTGTCGATCTATTTTATTTTTGCTTTGGGTTTGGTACAGGGAAGGGTCATCTCAATAGCTCTTCGATCGCGTTTGTAGTAACTAACCTCATCATGCTGTTGAACTTCACATGATATTGTCCAATTAGCATTTGGTTTGGCACCTCCGCTTTTTTATCTAATATCAAATTTTGAGCTAGTCTGTGATTCTCAAATCCACGTAATCGTCACATTACTGCCATTAATGTACTAAACTGTTCCCACAGCATAAGCGTGTGTCTGGGGTTGCACCATCTGCTTGCATTTTAATCATTCTTATGGTTTCCCGTTTTATCTTTGTTAGGTGATCGAAGGATGGAAATGAGCGTATTTGTACGCCTACAAGTTACTTGATTATGTGTATATAGTCTCTAAAAATATTCCACATTTGTTTTTGTCCAAGTGCTCGTATTCTACAGTTTCTTCCCTGATAGTGATTAATGGGTTTATCTATCAAACAAAAATTTGCAAAAGTTCATGGAGTTGCACTTGTTCAGAAGACGCATCCATTTGAAGTACTGATCCAGCGAAATACCCCAAAAATTCCCAAACTTATCTCCAAAGCTAGTTTTGGAGGTTATTGCTCATTTGGATTCCGTTATATTAATCCACTTTTTGTCAATTCTGCAAATCTACGAGGGGCGCCCTCTACTGTCAACTCCCATCATCCAAAATCTGTCTTGCTTGTGACAGTCAATCGTTAATGTTACTCTAGTGTCAAAATTAAGTACGATCCAGAGTATTATACTGATGGTCATTCTACTGAACTCAGTTTTCTAACCCGTAATTTAGTATACATTCGAAAGCGCGTACCTTGTTTTTGCCACATTTATTGTTTCCGTTCTTTTCACATTTTAAAATTTGTTCTAATGATTACATTTACCTTCTTAGCTTCCATGTTTCCTGAACCCACCGATTGAGTCCAGGTATTCGGCAGATTTCGCCTTCTGCTACTAAAGCCCTTCGGCGAGCCCTCGAACTCTACATCTCTACTGTTACAGTGCTCGTCTCATCTTTCCGCTATAGATTTTTATTTGCCGTGTTCCCTCCATGGTAAATTCTCTCCTTTTACTGTTGACGTAGCCCCACCATACCATATTCCTTCACATATAAGCCGCAACTGCTATTGTCCAATCATTTTTCACTCATCCATCTGTCATGAACACGGGTTCCCCTTCCGACTCCGGGCCTTCAGTCCCTCCACAGTCTCCCATTCAGTCACAGAGTCATGGGCTTACCGGTTTCCTCCGCAACTCCTTTTCAGACATTTCCTTGGACGGTTTTGAGGAACAGTTGGCGCGTGTTTCCGCAAATGATACATACGTTGGACCGCTTCGCCCAAATCGACGTCGGAAACCGCGCACGCAGGGGACCGCTAATGATCCATCCTCTCCTTCGTCTTGTGATCAGGAAGATGAAGATCCTCTTCGACAAGTCCCCTACTCTACTTCATCTCTTGCGTTCGTACCGCCCGGTGTTATCATTGTCTCCGAGATTTGGCGCCTCTTTGCCACAGAGAGACTTTCTCTGTGTAACGGCTTCATCAGCACGATGCGGATCGATGCTTTACAGCGGTGTCTGCACGCGCATAACCTCAATCAACTTGGTTCATTGCTTGTCCTTCGGAAGCGTCTTCACGAATTTGTTCGACGTTTGAGGGATTCTGGTCGTAATACACTGAATTGTGGATTGCCATGTGAAGGCGAGGAGTCCAGGCTCGCGCCTCTCTTAGAAGGCACACCATTGAAGATCATTGAGCCAGATGGTTGCCAGATGGTAAAACTCGCTCAACCTGTCGTTCTTACGCCAGATGTCTTTTACAATTACCTTCTAATAATTGACCTCGAGGCCACATGTGAAATGCGCCAGGAGAGAGACCAGGCGGAGTTCCCTCACGAAATAATCGAATTCCCCGTCCTCCTCTACGATACACGGCAACGTAAGTGTGTGGGTGTTTTTCACTCTTACTGTCGACCCACGAGAAATCCCTTGTTATCTTCCTTCTGTAAGAGTCTAACGCAGATCAGTCAAAGTCAGGTTGACAATGCCATCACCTTTCCGAAGCTACTCAGTCAACTAGAGACCTGGCTACTGGTGCAGAATAACCTCAGGGACCAAAGATGTGCTATAGTCTGCGATTGCTCAGCTGATATGGGCAAGTTTATGCGGACGCAGTGTCAATTGAGTGGACTTCAGGTACCCGAATGGGCTTCTGTTTGGATAAACCTCTCCCACGCCTTCCATACATTCTACCGCTATCCCCAGACTCAAAAATGTACTCTCGCAACCATGCTCAATGACTTGGATCTATCGTTTGTTGGCCAGCATCACAGCGGCCTGGATGACGCAATGAACATACTCCGGGTGGTTCAAATCATGCTAGCGGATGGATGTCAGTTGAGGGTTAACCAGCGTCTTGATCTGGGGCGGCCCCCATCATATTCTGCCACAGTTCCGCGCACTGTAGCGAATTCCGCCGATGGAGGTATAATGGGAAGTCGCTTGGGGCTTTTAAAAAAGCGCACGAAGTCGTCGGTGTTCCCTCACATGCATTCCTCCGATTCCCCCTCCGATGTTAATTATAGCCAATCGCAGTCTCCGGTGGCCCACCCAAATGAGATCAACGCAGAAGATGTCGAGTCCCTTATGCGCCTTCATTCCATTCAAAAGCATAGGTTAAACCGATCGAACCCTTGAAAGGGGGAAATAACCCTGCCACCGCTTTTCTCCTTATCCAAAAGAGATGCCTTATTTACGTACAAATCCGTCGACCCGCGTCAATTAACCTGAGGATAATAACCTCAAATTCTTACTTTTATTCGTTTGTTTACTTCTCTGTCCCCTCTTCGATGCAAAGACGGACCTATAAAATAACAGAAATGATGCTGAGATTATTCAGTCGTTTTCATCCCCTTTTTGGGGGTTGTAGCCAATCAGACGAAGCAGCACGTGTAGCATCGGAGAAAAGTGTAGCCAATTACAAGATGCCTTTTGTTAGAATTAACCCTAGCCCAGCTCCGTTCCTTGCACATATTAGCGATTCTGTTAAGGGTTCGGAAACCAAAACCAACATGTATGCGGGTTCCACATCTCTGATCGTTTCCCATAGTACCAGAATGTGATGGCTACCGAAGTACTCTGCGACAAGTGCTTGTGATGAAGGCAAAAAATCAGGGGCATTCCAGTTGTAAACGCACTGATCGTTCTAATAGATACAGATTCGATGCGTCGTTCCACAAGGTTCTAAGCGACTCAGGCTTCAAAAGCCTTCTTCCATCTGGCCGAGGTGTTGGTTGGGGTTCGTTTTTAAAGCTCTTCACAATCGAAGATGCCAACTGATTAACTTGATGAAATTTGTCTTCTTGGCTTGCTTCTTCTTGTGGTAGTTGTGATCCGCAGTGCTGCTGGCATGGATACCCAGTCGATCAGAGGCATCCTAACGAGAGTCCCAGAGAGTAGGCCCGACCTGTGGACAAGTCGTGATGTTTATTTCCGGTCTGTCGCTGTTTGATGTTCCTTACAATTAATATGGAGCCATAGTAATACCTTCTTAGTGCGCCAGTAACTCTAAACAGTAACTGAACTGCCCATTGGCAGTGCAAGTCTTTCTTCAACTGTCCTGTATCAAATGTCTTGGATAACTAAAGTGCAGAATCTAGGTAAAATAATTGTTTATTTACGTATACTTCCTCTATGATTAAGTGACATGTTCTGGCTTCACATTGTCTAATAATGAGATTTTCTCTTGCACCACTGCGTAATAAACGGAAGATTGTTGATTCGGTTTGGTTTATTTAATTTAATTGAAAAAGGAATTGAGTGATTTCCCCTTTAAGTTAGGTCAGTCATTAGCAGTACTGTAATTAATGTTTTGGGTCGTTGCACTTAATGATAAGTTTTCCTTCAATGGTTCTGTATGCTTGCTGCTATTTATGCTGGAGTTCCGAGGTCACAACTGCTAGATGCTGTCAGTGGTTTGGTGAGTGTAAAGTTGAGTTATTCTCACTCGTTGACTTCACTACTGTACTGATTAAAATCTTGTCGATGTGACTAAAGCTAAACCCACAAAGCGTGCCTTACGTTTCATTAAATCGCTCAGTAGAGGTGGCCCAATGAACGCTACGGCTCAAGTGTCACTCACTGTTTTGACATCGAGGCCTCGAATCACGAGGACAGTAGGCATTTGACACACTTTAGGAAGGCCAGGGCGAGAACCGCGTGGAGAACTTGTCTCGTGTGTGTGAGAACGTGTGCATTACCGCGTGGGTTGTGGTTCAACAAACCACAACTAAAACGGCCAGACTCAAATAAAAAACGCATCAAGTGCCTTTGGGAGGCTTGATGCGCGAAAACAACACGAAAAAAACATCTGTGGTGTCGATTACTTGTTGATTAGAAAACGTATTTAAGCAATTTTTTAAGATTCCCGTAATGAAGTGAGCTCCTGGATAGGATGATAATCATAAAATGTAGAATTTCACTGACACAAGTTATCGGTGGCGAAATCCTTGAATTCGCACAAGAAATAAATGACTGGGAGATCGTAGTTCGCACTCCTAAATACACATTTCAGTAAAGAGAAACTACGAAATATACGGAATGTATCACCCGTATTAGGAGAATGATATCAGCCGTAAATTAGTCGAAAATGGGGGAGACTGTTTCGGTGTGCCACACATTTCAAGCCAACTTCATAGAAGACACTCAACGATATTTAAGTCCTCCTTAGGAAACAGAAATTTTGCTTTTCCTAATTTATTTCTTGAAATCTCGTTAGAAGTAACCGGACAAACGAGCATTGCGAATCTTGTGTACTTAGAAATTCTTGTATGATCGATTTGACCTCCAGATACGTGCCCAAAAAATCCCCGTCTAAGGAATATGACATTCATGTTGGTGGATACAAATACTGATAAGATGAAATTGTGAGTTCATTTTCGACAAGAGGATCGCTTGTTAGCGCACATGCGTCTCGTTTCATCCGTGACTTTGGATACTGCGCACTAATTCAACAACTGTTGAAATCAATTAGCAGTGACTCGAAACTGAACCAGGGATTTGCCAAGATTTTCTCGACTGAGAGCCTCTTGTACTTGGAATGAACTAACAAAGTAAGTTGACAATTATGCCCTGGTTTTTTTTTAATTCTGGAATTTTTCTGTCAACCAAATCTATTCGCCAAAGTCAGCTCACCGAATTCTGTTCATCATGTCTGATTCATTGAATTTGACTCCTAACTCATCATTTGTCATTCTCATTCCAACATAAATCCATTGGTTTTCCGACACAAGCACTAAATTACGAAAAAACGAGCATAACTATATAAATATTTTATATAGATGAAAATTCGACGTCCTAGCCAGTTTACAAACCCAAATAACTTCTACAAACACGATATTTTAAGTACACACACGTCCAAAAAATCAAAGGTATCATTAACTGCGTCCAGGGAAGGGATTTAATTGGCAAAGAGGCGGCGTTGAGTCAGATGATCATGTCAGGGTAATCTGCTTTTGAGGCCCCGATATCGGCCTGAGAAAGACTAGTAGATCCCTCAACCGAATTTCCCTAGGGTGGAAGACTTTGAGGGTGTTAAATATGTCTGTTGGTTTTCTTGATCAAAGGCGATCAGATGATAGATAAGATGCGAGATATGCAACTAATTTGTTACGCAGTTATAGGTAGCAGGTCAAACTATCCAGTAAATGCGGATTTTATGACGATTAACAAGAATTAGCGCAATTCAATACAACAGTTGTCGACTTCGATCGTCTGGCCCACACCAGATGGTCCTGTTTCACAATAAGCAGTAAAAAATACCATCTGACAATTGGTTTCCAATTTGGTCATAGTCCAATTCCAAAGCTATCTCTCATCTATTCGAGATTACTCGCCTATTTCACAAGTCAGGTTTACTCGGACTTACTCTGGGTCAGAGTAATATAACATCTCTCTGCCCGATAAGGATGTACCACAAACACCTTTCACCGAATTTCGGTATTATAGACTTAAACAGAAATTGTTCAAGGTGTTTTAAGTGTTGCGACCGCTGCGTCGATGGTATTTTTGTCACGAACTATACCAAGAGTGAATATCACCGTCAGAATATTTATTAATCGACTTGTTATAAAGTGGAACGAACATTTGGGAAAAACAACAATCAGCGTCTCCAGATCTCAAAACGTTTGTCTTCGTTAACAACAATTGACCCTGATGTCGAAAAGCCTTACCCGTCTAACTGAAACTAGCATTTATATATCAGCAACGTAAAACTCCTTTCCTCAAGCCGCATTCTGAAGATTAGATCCAGGAATGGATGTCCTCTGATCTCGTTTCACGGCGGCTAACAAGACGAGTTAGATTCAATGTATTTTGGAAACCGTATGCAGTGCTAATAAGACATGCCAACAAGCCTGAACAAAAGCGCTCAGTTGACCGACTCGTGGCCTTCGGTGGAAATCAGCTGTTTGCAACTGCTCAAGGGGAGTCGTCAGCAAAATTTGATCCAGTGCTGGGTTCAGTTCATGCCTGCATCAGACTCTCAGAATCGAACGCAACTATTCTACATGAATCAAAAAATCCTCAAAATCTTCAACAATATCTTCTTATTTTTGTTGTTTTGGCTTGTGGCTTGTTATGAGGACAAAGTAGCTGACGATGGAACTGGTTTTACCATGATTAGAAATGTTTTGGAGAGGTATTTTTAAGGTGAGAATCATAGTTACACTGCGCTACCCTCTGCCTTTATAATTGGGCGACTATATCTACCCTACGCGAACCAAAACACCAGCGGACCCGATAAATATTTGAATAAATATCAATAACCATTTAAGGAATCCACCATTTTATCACTAAAATTCATACCAATTTTAAATGTTTGCAATTAGAAGATAATAAATTAACATGGCCATAACCAAGAACCCACATGTACACGGCCTGGATGCCCATAGTGACATACATATAAAGCAAACCACAATTATGCTGAGCTTTTAAGGCAACAATTTTACAAGAGTTATTTGAGGAAAATTTCGGAAAGTACGTATTAGAGCCGAAGGAGGAAATTTTTCAACTTAGTGGTTCGTATCTACAAGAAATAAAGTCTCCTTTAGAAAGGTGGTAATTGGTTTTTGATGTCCTTAGGAATGCCATTGTAAAACAAAATTCACATCGCTGAAAAACCATTAACAATTGGCATCGTGTTACCGAGTACAACAACTTTGTGTTTTTTTTTACACTGAATAATGGGTTTATCGGACTTTGCATCGTGAAATTATGAATACTACTTATTAATGAGATAAAAGGGGATAAGATGCGCCATCTGCCAAGGTGTGAACATCTGCACTGAGAAAAAAAACTAAAACCTTAGATATCCACCTGTCAAATTGAAGAGCTTTTGAACATGGGACACGGAAAATAAGATTGATGAGTAATGTGGTTTTTGATGGATCGAATTGGGGATTGAACGATGCCTGATCGAACAGCAACGAATACAAGGCAATTCTTTCAAGTTAATAACACTAACGCATTAACTACGCATAAGTCTAAGTAGAAAATGTACACTTAAAAGCGAGGGTGTGGTCAGTTTCATGCAAATGGCACTGATCGAGTCCCGATACGTCATCGATACCATTTAAAGTTCACGATCATGCACTGGCGGGCGATGGCGAGTTGACAGTCGTTACTGCTAGGTTTAACAGTTAACCCTATATCCTACGTTCCACTTCACATCACTCGACAACATAATGTGACCTGGGTTCAATCAAGTAGGTCGGCTCGCTGTCAATCGTGGGAAATTAAACTTCAAACTTGCAACTATCCATCACGTCCGACTTCCCTCATTATAGAGGAATTGTACAATGGGCTTTTTACACGAACCCCATCTGGCATCCAGTAACCCTACACACTCGAATAACACGCCCGTTCTTTCAGACTAGTTCCCAAAACCGACTCTTTTAGCAACTTCACCCTGTGATTAACTTTGTACCCCCTTTAAATAAAGGCTTATTTCGTAAACATCGCAATCCATTTCGACAAAAGGATGCCTGCTTCTAATTTGCGTTACTACGCCAGTTGCCTTCCCTTCAGTATGTCGCTGCCGTATCGTTGTAGGTGTCCAAAGTTCATATGTAAGTTGAAGACCCTCACGAATGTCGAACTGTTCCAAATATTCCATGTGTTAAATAAACAAACAACCATCAATTGCCTAACGTATATGTGTCAGGCACTAATCTCCTCTATTCAAATCTGTGACCTACGCACATCTGCCAACAAGCCGATGCAATCTGAAAAGGTGGCGCCGCCTCAATTTTGTCCAGTAATAAAGTAGATGGTCGCATTACTTCAAACCTCTGGTCTTCGTTTTTTTATTAATTAGGAAGATTTTGGGGGTAGATAAGCGAAGCAAACGTGTCGATATGGAAATATGCGGTTTTCAAGGGCGTCGAAGTCTTGGATATGACTTCCTGTCAACTTGTTGCTGCGCACGAAATTTTATTTCGAGAACAGCTATTTCAATTTAAATGACAATGGGCCTGAAATCTGTGAAGTACTTTTAGGTAGTCAGGCATCTTACTATGGGTTTGATTGCTTACTTTATGCCACATTTAGCCAAGGACTCCTTGATAGGGTAGAATCAGAGGATAGTCGACTTAACTCGGGTTTTTCATACAGTAGCTAGTAATGGGCCGAAACCACATTCGAACGGTATGAAGACGGCTACTCCAGATGAATAAGAAACAAAATTGACGGGCTTGATAGTTGCCTTCAAATTGGTGGTTAGGTGACAAATCTGACCACTTACTACTGTAAAACAGATAGTAGTCTGGAAACATCTCATCCTGGGACGGGTTTCATAGCCCACTTTGTGCGGGAAAACGTAGTGCATCAATGACATCATCATCATTTCAGCCTACGGTGCAAATAATGTGCATGTGTGTAACCAACTTCCGCATATGACTTGTGTGCTTAAACCTGAAATAAGTTCACGTCTTCACATCAGCTGCGAGTCTGTTTTCAACTTGTGCTGGGGCACCTCTTAGCTACAAAGTGGACACGCAATTATTTAAACACCCGGCTTCCATAGATTTTTGTGGCAAGTGAATCTGTCTGCATGGAAGCAGCGAAGTCAATGTGTAACCAACCTCAACAATGCTCAAACTGCGGTCTATTATGAATCTCAACACCCCGAAGTGTGCAAACCTAGATGTGGACATCACGTGGAGAGGGAGGGATGGCAGAGGGGGAAGAGGCATCAGCAATGAACCCTTCAACCAAGTGTTAATTAAATTCTGGACGGTCCAAATACACAATCAAATAACGAGATTTGCAGGGGCCGAAAAACCCCACGCATTTTACAGGTTACTCATAGCCACGTGGATTTAACCAAGGGCTAAAGCCAAATCCTATTGATTTATGTTTTAGCACTGCTTTCCGAATGAATTTCGCCCCTGTAACTTGACTTAAAAACAAGATCAGAAAACGCGTAGATATGCGGAATGTTTTATTCAAGGCAGGTGGTGTTAAATATACTTTGTGCGACAAAGGTAAGGTTGTGTTATCTGAGTGTGCTGATTATATGATATTAATAACGCAGTAAGAAAAGAAAAAGACAATACGAAAAAAGGGAAAGTGAAGGATATGCACGCAGTGAGCAGGTGTTGTCAAATATCAATGGTTCCAGGGACTTCGGCCACCGGCGTTGGGGAGTCCCGCTGCTTTTGAGATTGGGGCTGTGATGATTGCGGTGGCTGCTTCCGGGAGTCTGCTGAAGAGGCTTGTGAGGCGATACTCGAATCCGAGGCCGGAGCCATAAACTTGGAACGACGGATGCAGGTCTTTTGGTTGAAAGGTTTCACGGTGATTATAAGATTCGAGCTGTTCGCGACCATCATGTCGGTTACCTGGTCCAGAGTCTTCCCAAATACCTCAATTCCGTTGACTTCAATAACTTCATCTTTGACGGCTAGAAGGCCGGTGGATTCGGCCAGACCGCCAGGAAGGAGTCGTGATATGAAAATCCCGGGCACATGCTGGACGCCTGTTGGAGTCGCTCGAATACTGAATCCATCTCGGATGTAGAAACCCAACGGTTTTGAACCTGTCCGAATGAGACGAACCCTGGGAGGAGGCAAAAAGAGACCAACCAATTCCCCTTTAGCAGTATCAACAGAGCCCTTCAATTTTAGAAATTACTGATATTTGCATGCGAAATCGATTCACACAAGATAGAATCCACACGATGTGACCGGAATAAGAAATCGGGAAGTGTGGTAGCGAAGCTTAAGTGCGAGACTACAGCGCACTATAATACAATACTTACGTCCATATCGAGTCGTTTCATACGTAGAATGCAGGCATTTATCAATAATACGAGAAACAATGAGCAAAACAAAAGAGAGGACAAAAGATTTGCAGGAGACCAAAGACAGATCTTACGAACAAGCTGAAGATCTCTTCAGGTCAAGTGGCTCTGTGGGGCAAACCAGTTCAGGTCAGCCGCTCAAATATCTCAAAGAATAGTGCTTCGTCGCAGCGTGTGCGCGTGTCTACTTAACCCACTTAGAAGCCTGACGCTCCACATCTTGATTAAAATCGACATCATACATACACAAATCAACTGCTTAAAGAAGATGGTACATATTTGAATAAACATGGAGGAAAGGGGAAGAAATCTCTTTTTGTGACCTTAATAGAAAATTAAAGTTATTGTGCATGCATACCAGCAGATAATTTCAGAAATGGGGCAACTTTGAGGGGAGAAATGAGATATTTAAAATAAAGACATTGTGTCTAATGTCTTGAATGCTATTAGTGAAACGCAACTTCATACTCGAAAAACGCCCGTTAGTTCACGCAATTGTTAACGTACGTCACAGTATATAAACAAGAGTTAATAGGGACCGGATATTTTATTCTCTAGTTGGCATCTAATTCTTACCGCAACGCCGCTGGCCATAGGGCAATATACCATTGACGCATAGGGTACCACCTTCATAAGAAATTTATGCGCCACTCATCTGTGTATACACTAACAAATATACCACTTTAAAATACAGATGAATACAAAAGTGTTCATGGAAATGGTCCTCAATACGAAAATAGCCAAATTTTGAGTCAGTCAACTTCAAAAACCCATTTCGGAGGCACAAGCAATTCAATCAAGCAGTATTTGTTATGCAAGCCTCTAACAGTTACCACATACCTAACCACACTAGTATAATTGAGCTTTAAAACGAAGTTCTTGGCAATATTACGACGGTCGGCCGGTCAAAAAGTTATGGGTGATGTCTACTATTAAACATTCTATTCACTATTTTAAAGTACGAATGAATTTGACTTGAAGACATTAACGAATATCAATACAACACCTGGTATAATTTGACAGCGTTAAACACACACAATGATCCATGCTACCTACAAATATAATGACAAGTGGATATTCAACGAACGAAGCTGGCGAATAGATATGAAAAATGATGCAGCATTACTGAATGAGCGACCAAAACTCACCTACGCATGCATTCGGGAACGGTTCCATCGTCAATTATGGACGAAACCTTGTGAAAATCGTCACAAAGTATTATCGACTGATGTCCAGGCTTGGGTCTCTCTGATCCAATAGATCTCACAAGCTCCGCTGGTTTTTTTCGTAAGAAGACTGTCCCTGATGGTTTATATCCCTTGATTTCACCATAACTTTCGCCTAACAATCACAAACTCTCATAAGTTGCAAATTAAGTACCTTTCAGTTGAATTAAAAGTCGAAGAGGATCAAAAGCGACTGATAAAGCCCTTTCACAATTTTTATCGTTATTAATAGGAAGCAACGCGTTTTCTTTGGGGTCGACATACTGGAGTATGAACTTTACGTTATACAGTCCATGCGCCTTTTCTACGACTTGATATAGATCCTCAAACTTTTTTATTGTCGAGCGATCTAGACTAAACCGCCTAAATTCGGCGTTAAACTAAAGCAATAAGCATAACATTGACTCAAACCTTGCTCTTAACTGCAAGCAGGGACATTCTTAATGAGCGCTATCTTCAGGAAACCCTACAAACAAAGCCGCACAGCCAGTCTCCTGGCAATTGGGGGATTGAGAACACGCGTTTCTGATATATTTAATTTTTTCGGTTTGATTAAATACAATATTCGTTAACAATTGATATTTTACAACGCCTCAGTTAACAAGAGAACCAAAATCTATGCAAATGCACTCGGTGTGTCCAACAGGATCGAGAATTTGATTAGAGGCAACTATTAATCAAATAACACGAGACTTGTTACAATGGGCGATGCCTATAATTAGGATTACCGAGTACCTTCCATTAGAATAAGCGGAATGCATGTGAAGTTATTTGATTTAAAGAATGAGATATTAGAATAAAGTAAGAGGGACAGGTCGAAGATCTGATTTTGAAGGAGGGTTACATGCAGGACACTAAAAAAAACCGATGCAAAATTGTGCAACGAAACATGGAAGGAACATTCGAGAATGGCAAAGGACTTAATACTGACGAGTTTTGAGCACTGGCACTGATTTAGAACCTGAAAAATCATAATGAAAATCCTTGGCTAAAATGATCACTTCAAATAATTCCCATCGGAAAAATTACCGTGTAACATCAGGGTTTAGTCATTTAGTTCGAGGCAACTCAGTTTATCTCTTATCTAAGCACAGGAAAAGATTCGGTTCAAACTTTCGAATTTAATGAACGAATTTCAAATCAGCGTAACTAACGATTTTATTTTTTTCAGAAATTACGCAAAACCTTTTAGTCGATTGGATTAGGAGCAAACTGGTGTCTTTTACATGATGGTGGTATGTTACTTACCCGTCGTTGCAAATCCATAAAAATCTTTATATGCTACCGATGTTTCCTTAGAACAAATCGCCATTTACTGTGTTTCTTTTTTAACTTAAACAATTAACGGCAATAGATGGCATATCCTAGGACATTTCCAGCAGTGAAAATTTATGTAAGGGGTAAATGGCTTTGTTACTATAGAGCTTAGAGGAGACGAAGTCACAGTATTTCAATTGATGGTGAAATTATCTGGTAATTTTGTGCCTCTGCACATACGAGATCATGTGTCTTTAGAATTCAAAAACGTACGCAAATTATATAAAACCCTAAAACAGACAAAACAAAAGACACACAATTCGCCCATTAGTCATAGAGATATACCAACAGAGATTATGGGCGGCAGTTAAGACAAATCTCTAAGAAACAGGGCCGTCAAAATTTAAAAAAAACCACAATTGTCACTGCATTAATAAAGAAAAAACCACAATAAACTTATTATGATTAATTATATATAATACAGACAGATATTCTTCAGAGTAACCACAAGTTCGCTTCCCTAGGTTGCAATACTTAACTAAGAATAGGGTTCAGTTACTTGAGACTTACTGTGTATAATTGACTTGTCAACGAAAGTAGCATCTCCTAAGAGTTGCATTTTCGAGAGCTTCCTCAAAGCAGGTTCCGATAAGACCACACCTGGTCGAAGTTCAAACGACTACTAATTTCTTGAGTCTGCATGACACCAATCACATCCCTTCTAGAAATTTTTTATTGGCACTGGGTAAGGTTTCAGAAATGCACCCATTGTCTCTGGCATTTGGTTGTTAGCGAGGGAGTTTGGAGTATATGCCAGCGAAATCGTTGTTTTACACGAGAACAGCTGCACACAAACAACGTGATGTTCACATTTGTGTTTTCTGCTGGAGAAAAAATCCATTAACTTTGTAGGCAGCTCAGAAGTTGTAAGATTGTTAAGATGATTATGTAGGCTATATCATTCGTAGCTGTGAAAAATAGCCGTGGTGATCACACGAAAAAGTTGCACTAGTGTAAGCTGTTCACGTAAAGTATTTGATAAATGATCTGCACAGAGAGTGAGTGGGACTAAGCCTTCCCTTAAGCAGATCTGAATCAACGCCTTGATCCCAAGCATTAATTCTACTTAAGGATGTGAGTAGTGTTCAAGGACTTATCATTTTCCAGTAAAGCATAATGCAGTTCCACGTCTAAAAGGTCAAAATAGTCATAGTAACAAAGTCCATCACACTTGGATTTGTGACACGGTTTATCATTGATAGGCAATTTGAAATCATTGACACGGGAACGCCTACAACATGGTTTGTGTAGTTTAGAACGGTTTAATCAACAAGCGGACTTGTACAGAAACCAGCGGCAAAACAAGGGTCAACAACTATGTGAGCACCACTGTCAATGCAAATTGGCTTATAGTATCCACAAGTGGGCTTCGAAAATGTCTTTACGTTGCTATCTTAACCTGATACTGAAGTTAAGCTAAACTAGGGATTTGACAAACAGGAATACAGCACACCTTAAGACAGCACCTTGTCAACATGCGTGTCGAGTGTTGACGGTGCGTAAAAAGGAGAGGTGCACCATGGAATAACCAAGAATTCCCGCAAAGTAGTTGATTTAGTAAGATGATCTTTCCAAAGTACCTTACGAACCAATCACGTTGTTCAGAAATTTGACCCCTGTAACAGTATACCTGACCAATTTGGAATTTAACCCACTGCAAATTGCCATGCTGTCTTCTACAAAGCAGTAAGTTAAATCACTCATCAAGCTACTACAGTGTGTGTTTAAATTCTCGACCGCATGCAACTGAGTCACACAATGCGTTATCAATTTTATGTGGTGTTATTTTTGGTTTGGCAACGCTCCTAGGCTGACAAGTGCGCAAACAACTGTCTGCGCTCTGTGGTATCGTTCACACCTCTTAACATTTCTGAGGCAGGGGTTGAATCGGCCCCACAATCTGCAAGCCAAGCCCTTTGTGATGCCGCAGCACCACTTCAGCCAACTATGCGCATCGATGTGTTAGGTTTCAATGAAAGTGGTTTTTTGAAGTGACGCCACATCAAAACTCCACCCAGAGCATTTCGTCGTGATATCGAGGAGTTTAACTGCAGTTTACATGACCGGAAATAAAGCGAAATTATCCTTCGTTTGATAGGTTGGACTACACATAGGACAGTACCTGGATTATTTGTTAGGAAGACGTACGCGAACACAACCCGAGAATAGCCAGGTTGTATGCGCTGCATCATTGGATGAGTCTCTTTTACAGACGCCTGATAACCTCCCGACAAATGCACAGGGAGGAATCGCGTTCAGGCTGTTGGTGATTGGCTGTAGGCTGCATAGCGTGCGTTCGGTGAACTCCCAGTCGCATGTTGTCTTTGCCGGCTCAGAGTACGGACTCATCTCTGCACTCGATTAGACGATGCCCAGACACACACAGCAATGCTGGCAACACACATGAATTGGCTCAAGCCTGATCAACACGCATGCACACGTGGATATCATAGACGGGAATCGAGTTGGGCGAACACATTCAGTACACAATTAGTCCGTGTGTGAACAACCCTCCTGGAATTGACAAACAGCCCCTCTGCTTACGGCTAACGTCCTAGGTCTCACGTTGTACATAATTGAAGCAACTACGGCAGCTACCGCACCACTTGTCCAAATTCTTCCATGTTCAACAATTGCTTACACAAGTTGTCATTTCCGAGGAGTCCAAAGTAGTTACACCTAACTCTAGGAGTACCACATTGCCATTGTTGGTATGTGAGGTGGATTGCGCAACCTCCATGATTCGCCCTACTTGTCTTTTAGCACCTTGAAAATAACCGCTTTAATACAACCAGCTCACTCACTACACAACTGCAGTCTGGAAGACCAGCACACACACCCATCCATCCCCTTTGTGTACTAACTCACGAAAACTGCTAGCAGAGTTAAATCACGCACCTCACTGGCAGAACTTCAAAACAACGATCGCCTATTGGTCAGTGTCATATGCATGCCGATGTTCATTGTCACTTCCAACATAATCCCAACTAGTTTTCGAGTGCCACTCCGGGAATTACATAAGATAAGTAAGTATAGCATACTTTTTGCTAAGTAAGGTGACAAATAGAGAACAAGACCATATTAACAAAGTACAGGTTCATTATATGAAGTCCTATAGACCAGCAGCTTGCACATTCACGACGCAATTGAGTCTATGCTTGACATAAGATGTCTAGCGCCAGACGCATAGCGACGGCCGCCGGTACTGGCTTGTGACTGGTTTGTCTCTCTGGTTGTTTTAACAGATTAGCATCTTGGTGATCATTGTTCTCAAAATGTCAAAAGGCGCTCAACTCAGCACGTGGTGCCTTCATCGAAGTGTCATCCACAAATTTTATCAAATCGCAATACTTGGTGGTCACCTACAAAAACAGAAAGTGGAGGCATTTTACCAGCCAGTCTCAACTACAATCCACTGAGCGTTTCCACCTTCACAATAAAATTGAAAGTAACATTAAGAACTAGTGGGCATACGTACTTGCTCCAAGAGTCGAGCCTCAGCGTTCCCCACAAGACGTGGAAGCCAGTCAGCAATAACAGTCTT